CTTTCTATATTTTAGACTGTGACCATAAGTTGAATAAATGAAAAAAATAGTAACTGTTTGGGGAAAAATATAAGCAGATGGGGCATTATGGAAGCTGCCTTTAGATCAGTGGTTCTCAACCTGTGGGTTGGGACCCCATTTGGGGTCGAACAACCATTTCACGGGGGTCGCCAAACAACGCAGTCCGCCATTTTTTCCCCTTTTCCTTAGCTGTGCTACTCTACTCCTTTTTATTATATTGGCTTTTGAAAGCCAATAGAATAGACTCTCTATTGTCCAGGCTGTCCAGGCAGTCTCTGCCCTGCTGAGCCCACCAAAAGTCCCATTCTGCAAGTGGTACTGAAAGTTGTCTGCAGCGAAGGCGAGCTGTCTGGAAGTTTCCACCCCTCCCTGCTGAGCAACTACTAAAAATGTAAGTAAAAGAGGGCCAGGGGTGGGAGGTGGGAGGCTGGCGGGCGCAGGGAGGGTTGCTGGCACGTGTGGGGCCTGGCGGGTGCCTTACCTCCCTTGGGCTGGGCCAGCTGGTGGCCCAGCCGGTGGTCGGCATGCGCCATCTCTGCCGCTTGCCAGCTATGCCTCGGCAGGTGCAGGGGGCGGCACCACACATGCGCGGCGCTCCCAGGCAGGGAAAGTCCTCGACTTACGACCAGTTGGGTAGTCCTCAACTTACGACCGGTTGGGGTCGTGGCATTAAAAAGATTGAGAACCACTGCTTTAGATCATGAATTAGAAATGGCAAGAAATGCAAGAAATAAATATCAGTGTTATTTGCTACCAGCTCCAGCCCAAAGCACAGGTGGGCAATCTAACATAATGATTATCTAATCTGCATTGGCTTTTAGTAAACTATCAAGATGAGACTTCCAAAGCATTAGATCCTTAGAATTTTCTGAGTGCAGGACTTTGTTTTCAGAGTCACAACTGAACTCATTTTAGAGAGCTTGTAGTGTATAACAGGCTGATGGCTGTGTGCAAACTGTTGGAAGTCAGTACTCCCATGTGCTCAGGTACAATTCCATTCCACCTAGTTTTGTAATAAGTGTTCATTTTTTTAAATCAGCACCCCCCTCCCAACCTTTTGAGTGCCAGTGACTTCCATGGAGAGACTTTTTTTTTCCTGTGGACCAGAGGGGGCGTGGTGTCATGTGCTGCCTGCATCCCTCTTGTGCATGGATAGGGTTTTGCTCATTTGCACTGCCTGGTTTATGGTTCACTGCAGCTCAGAGGTTGGGGACCCCTGTTTTAAACAACCCTGGAAAATCTGGGCTTGTATAAATTTATTTGCAGTGTATTTGACTTATACTTTAACATAACCCATCAGGCACTCATATTCTTTTCTTACCTTCTGATATTTTACCATGCGCATATTCTGATATATGTTATATATCATAATATAATGTGATATTTAATGAAGAGCTCCTTAAAGCACTAAGAGAAACAGATGCACTTATTTTCTTTCTTGGTATGAGAATTGTAAAACTAACCCATAGGGTGTTGCGTAAGTTAATTTAGCTAATTTAAAATTGTCACATCAGAGGAAGCTTTCAAAGCCCCTTCCATAACACACACACATATCTGCAGACAAATGTGATCTGCTTTAAAAATGTGAAGTGTAAAGCATTTCTGCATCAATTTTGATATGGCTGACAATTAATGTTATGATACTATTAAACAGATAACCAAGGAATCCAAATTCTCAAGCATTTTATACTTTAAAGTTTGAAGGAGGAAAAAAAAAAAGACTTGCCCTGATGTGTATTTCTTGTGTAACATGACACACATTAAAGTGTGGCCTTGTGTGTGTTTGTGTGTGTCTGTAATTAACTACACCCATCATCTTTCTGCTATATCTTAAGTGTTATATTTTTCAGAAGCCTGGCTCTTCATATAAAATCCTACAGTTTATCCATTACTTAGTCTTTTCTCTGCCACAGGAAAAGGGTCCTCTCTGCACACAGATGTCTCCGATTAAATTGTATCTCACAGTCCTAACAGTGTTGAGTACTAGATGAACTGCCAGAAGGGCCGTAGGCAAGATCTAAATTGCTTTGGTTTCAGTACACAGTGAATTTGGCTCAGACAAGCTGAATCAGTACATTAAATGCGAATCCCTCGCAGATTTGAAAGCAGCCTTTAGCACAATTATTGACTGTGAGTGATGATTATGTCTAATTGAAGGAGACTTCTGCTACCTGTAGCTCAGTTGGAGTCCATGAGAGCCACAGCGAGGCTCTGCATCTTAATTCAATGTTCCAGCTTGGAGAGAAGCAATTGAGCCTAAATCCAGAAATGTATACACATGGTCGATAAACTTTAATAAACTTTAAAGCTTCAGTAACTAGGCTGAATACATACAATTCAGGGTAGATTGTGTTGTTGCTTTGTTTTATCTCCTTTTTCCTTTGTTTTAATTCTGGAAAGGAAAACAACTATCAGGAGCGTTCGGCTGCAATAATGTATTAGTTTGCCTCATGCAGAGTCCCTATCAAGCAAAGGGAAAATATATTGTTTCATGCTTGTCTTTGGTACAACTCATAAATCTGCCACTCTGTACACCATATTAATGCTCGACAGGTGGGAGATTACCAATGCTGCAGAGGTGGGAAACAGCTTTCAGCAAATTTGCTGGAAATGTTTGTGAGAGAAATAAATCTGTTGGACAATGTGGACCGTATAGGGGTTTTGCTATCTTTCTCCTAAAGAAGGAAATTAATATTTTCTTGATAGTGGCCTCTGTATTCATACAGGACCTGGTAACATATGTTTCAACAACGCAGTGGAGGTCAGTCATATTCAGGTTATTTTTGGGGGTGGGCTGAAGTATCTTAATTTTCCAAAAGAAATTTATCTGTTTTTTTGGTCAAGAAAAAGAGTTAAAATGTTCTTCTTTTTTTTCTCTTAAGAATGTCAGAGACAACCAATGGAATATAAGATAAGTTTCTAGGGGATGATCACATTTCTGCTTTCAAGTCATAATCATGTCATTTTTTTTCTATTGAGTTCCTTCCTTCCTTCCTTTAAAAAAGTGATTTGAGGTGATTCTATATCCATAATCATGTAATTTTATTAGCAGATATGGAATTTTTATTCTTTGGGGGGGGGTTTCCCCCTAACTTCCTAGTCTAGACTACATTCCTTGCAGGTTACCAGCCTCAGTACCAACTAGCCTGAACTTGCTTAGATTCTGAGCTTGTACAAGGTCAGCCATTTACTGAAGGATTTCTAAAAAGGCCATTTCCTTCTACCAGCCCTTCTTGTAATGACACTGTCATGAACTAAGATTGCCTCTTGGCGAGATGGGCAGCTTATACATTTAATAAATAAGTAAAAATAAATAAATAAAAATCAGAATCTCTGCTGAGATGACGTTCCGAAGGTTCTTCTCAATTCTCAAGCACACAGGAGAATCCAAACAGGTTTTTGGCTAAACGACCTCAATTTAAACTTCTTCAATTAATTATCAGGTGTGTGCATTAGCCTTTTATGAAGAATGATTTGGTTGAAGCGAGTTATTCAACCATTGTTGGAAATAAACATTCACTTGTTAATGTTAATGCATCAGAGAAAAACCAGAAGGAGGTTTGTGGAGGCTTTTTATTGAAGTAGGATTTGGGGAGACAACTAATGCCATCTCTCAGCTTCTCTGTGGAGTAGAGTGACTATTGCCAACTCTGCATGTCTCATTTAGGGCTTGAAGCTTTTTTCCACTGGCAGACAATTTGCCATATCCAAAGTTCTTCCAAGTAGGGGTAGGACGCAATCATCATTATCATCATCATCATCATCATCATCATCATCATCATCATCATCTCCTATGCAGAGCACATTAGGCAGCAAGTGCTTTCAGGCGCCTTTGACCATTCGCAGCATCTTCAGCATTAATAATCTTAAGATCCTCCTTAAGTGTTTGGCAGCAGGTTTTCTGAGGTGGGTTTCCTCTCTCCTCTAGGAAGTATGTAAAGTAGTGCAATTTTTGGACGCTGGCTTTAGGCATATGTAAAATATGGGCGACAAGCCGCATTCAACATTCATTCACAGTTCCCGACAGGTGTTTTAAATCAGATCTTCACAGTACCTCTTCGTTAGTGATAATATCACAATATGAGAGACAGAGGATTCTTCTCAAACAGCGTTGTTAAGGGTGGATTAGGATTGCCCTATTCAGTTGCAGCTTTTTGCTATGCTCATTTTTATTTATTAAAGCACTGATAGCTGTTCTTTCTATCCTACACCTCTAGAGTGGCTACAGCTTAATAGCTGTAACTCGGAGGGGGGGGGCTTTGTTACATCCTTAGCAGTTAGGAGCTCCTCGTTGCTATTTGTCAGGGGACTATGAACTAACAGATCTCTCAGAAAGTGAATATGACAAGCAGAGGAACATTTTCACTGCTTTTATTGACCAGAAGGGGAATAATTGCAAAAAGCTTTCTTCTCTCTTCTCTGCTAGAGAGCACATGCCAGTCCTGAGCTGGCTTTTATCTCCCCTCCCTCTTTCTTTTCTCTCCTTCTGCGTGGTGTCTATTACATTAGCCTGTGGGCAGGGACTGTTTTACCTTTTAAATTTTAGATGCTTTATAAGTGAGAGATAAATAGGCAGAAAGAAAGGTAAGCAAGAGCAGTCGCAATAATTCAACTGCTCAAGTCCTGCTTTCACAAAAGCCTCCTGGCAGATCCCTACAGATGGATTTCAGATAGCAGCAGGGCCTCTGGGTTTCGAAGAGAGGGCCAGATTATTTCTAGCATTAGAAGGTCAGGCTTCCAGTTTAAATTGAGTCTGAGAGTAAACAGGTTGCCAGTTCAGCTTAAGCAGGTGATCTGTCCAAATATCTCTGAAGTTTCCAAACACAGAGTAACCCTACATAGGGTGTATTGCAATAATTCAACTTGTATCAAGGAGATGAATGGCTACGGTCAAGCCTGATTTTCTCCTCAGGTAAAGCCTTAATTGTCACACTCGCCTAAGCTGCCAATATGTCCCTATCATCCAGACCTCCACTAACCTATATATGTAGGATCGTTCAGAGGAACTGCAATTCCACTTGCAACAAGCTGAACTCCAAAGACCAGCACCTCCATTTTGTCGCCACCATCTCCCTGGGACTGGATGCAAAAGAGAGAGCACAGTCAGATATCTCAATAGTTTGACTGAATCAAAGGTCCAGAAGAAAAATAGTTAACGCTAGTCAAAAGCAGCAGCTATCTAACCTCAACTGCAAAACTTGGGTCTTCTGGCCCCAAGAGACCAGGACACATTTGACTAACATTCCCAAATGTGGAAGAATAAGGCTGTAGCTTCTGAGGACTTATTTGCAGCCCAAGTTGAAAGATGCTACTGGCCATGAACTGCTTATTTCAAAGCTTCAGGTCTCATTACTACCAACACAGCTGCTGGGGAAAGCTCACTTCAGGTGGCACTTTCCATGTACATGCCTGATTATTATAGCATATAATGGTATGGAAAATATCTTGGGCAAAAGCAATTATTTTTTATCCCACCACAGGCCACTTCTGAAGTCCTTCATGCAAAAAGCCAGCTGTCGAGACAACACAGCTACCTTACTGTTACAGCGAAGCCTATCTGCAGAGTGGCTAGAAAAACTCCATCCTCTAAAAATGAGATATAACGTTTTTTCCTTTATAATTGAAACAGGTTGATGTAATCTGACACCCATCCAGGGTCATAGCACTCCAGTTATGAATCATCAACCACAACAAACCTAGTAAATTTCTTATAATCAGTTCTTTGAACTAAAACAACAAAACTAAAAAAAAAAAAAACCTAACAAAATGATCTTTAAAAAGCAAAACAAAGCCATCTTTTGTGAATCCTAATTTACTAACGTCAACAATAAATATAAATCTCGGTGCTCATAGTCAGAACTGCATGAGAAATTTGTGGTCAACTTTTCCAATAAAAATGTAGCCTTTTAGTACAGATTTTCAGAAACAGTGAGACTAGTTGGGCAGCTGATCCTTTTTATAGTGACACACTCCATACAACTTTATTCTTTATACTATCAGTAAGCCCACTGGCAACAATTTTAATCAAGATAAACTGTGAGTATGAATTGGCCAAACAAAGGAATAAGAGGCAACTCAGTCCAGATATTATGTGTGAGGGAAAGAAGGCAAAGACAGCCCCTCCCCAGTAGTTTACAGAGTATATTGTAGAGGGCTCAGTCTAGCAGGATTTTTGTCTACAAGTGTGAAATAAAAACCTCAGCTTGAAGAATCACCTTGCCGTTACTCCTGATTTGAGGCCTTGCAGGGATGCTAGGATTAAGGAAAAATAATTGGTAATCATTATAAAATACTGGGACTTGCAGTTCAAAGCTGAACATTTATGAAAAAAAAAAAAAAGAATTCCATTGTTGTACCAATCATGATCAGGGCCCTTGGAGCAATACCTAAAGGATTTCCTCAATATCTGGAAATATTGAACAAAGGGAGGGAGGGACAGGTGAAAAGAAGTGAAGGAGGTCCAAGAACTGATAGCTGTGAGTTCATATTTTTCTATATATAATAATAGTAGTGGTAATAATAACAGTAGTAAATATTCTACAAAGTAGAACATTAGTAGCAGTAGTAAATGTTCTAGAAAGAACAACATCTAGAATCATAACTAACAGAACAGAGCCTAGCAAGTTAACGTCAGTTTATGATACAAAAGTATTCACGGAAAAAGAATTGGAAAAACTGCAAAGGTCTACCCAGGGCAAAGAAATCAAAGATTTGCCAAAAATAGGTCATATAGTAGAGGGAAGCTGGAGAAGTCAGTCATAGATAAAGCCAGCATTGTTATTGAACTGTTTTCATTCCCAAACCACGCACCTCTCTTCTTCCTTCTCTTCATAAAGAACAAAGTCCTCTAACTAGAAAAACAAAAGGAGTTTACACAAAGAATAACAGCATCTAGAACAGCACAAAAACAACAGACTAAGATTGCCTGCAATGAAGCTTGTTAACAAAAAAACCCTGCTAGTCTAAGTATTAAAAGATACCAATACCGTAATACAGTGTTTCTCAACCTTGACAATTTTAAAGCATGTGGACTTCAGCTCCCAGAATTCCACAGCCAGCAATGCTGGCTGTGGAATTCTGGGAGTTGAAGTCCACATGCCTTAAAATTGTCAAGGTTGAGAAACACTGCCGTAATATCAGATATAAGCACCAGCTCACTGCAAGAAACAACTCGATTGATGTACAGTGCAGCTGTAGTTATAACTGAAGAGTCTGGATGCAGAGTCAAGAAAGAAGAAAGAAAGCCAAACAGTGCACCACCAAAACGGAAGATCAAGCTGCAAAATAAGATCCGCATGCTAAGATCAGATGCAAGTGAACTTGAACAGATGAAAGGAAAGAAGCTGAAGAACAAGACAACCAAAGAATACCTGATCAAGAAATATTACTCAGAGACAAGAAAAATCAAGAAAGCACTGGAAATAATATAGTAGCAAATAACAGCCATTGCCAAGAAAATCAACAGACTCTCTAATTTCAGTCAGATCAGAAACATTTCTACCAATCCATCAATGGATTGCAAAGAACCAGCTGACACCCGATAAAGAGGAAACAGTGCAATTCTGGTGACAACTGTGGGCCAACCCAAGAAATACAATAAGAATGCAGCCTGGAGAAAGGAGGTAGTGAAGGAGAAAAGAAGTTAAAATGAAAAGAACTTGTAATAAAGCAGAAATTGTGGAGAATAGGGCAAGGAAGATCAAGAGTGCTTGGGTAAAGACGAACTGAATGGCTTTTGGTTGAAATATCTGATTGGTCTGTTCTCTCTCTCATTGCCAAACAGTTTAACAACAAACTGTAAAGAGCTGAAACCAAGATTGGTTAACATTTGGCAAAACCTATCTGATAATGAATGATCAAACAAAAGGAGCAGCACCAGGCAGCTACATATCAATTACCTGCTTATCAATAACTTGAAATTATTAACTGGTATGGAAGCTGATGCAGTCCAACAGCATCTAGTTGAAAGCAAGCTCTTTCTATCGGAGCAGAAAGAAAACTGCCCAAAGAACAGAGAGACAAAAGATCAGCTCCTAATTGACAATATAATCTTGGAACTTAAATGTAAATTTGACTGATTACAAAAATGCATTTACGGTAACTCCCTGCCACATGATTGGAAAATCAAGTACCTAGAAATAACAAGAGTCAGATGAATAGGAAGATCAGAAAAATAATGACAATGTATTTATGTACTCCATTTACAGAGTGATTGACAGGGCTTATTTACCAAGGAGTAAAGATGGGTGTGGCATGTTGCAGCTGAGTAACTGAAGAAGTAAAAAGGACATTGAAGAGTATCTGAAGGACAGTGAAGAAGATGCATTGAAGCTAATATACCATGTCTACCATATCAGGCTTACTGAATACCAAAGAGACCAAAATATCCTATAGCAGACATGTCAAACTCGGGACGTCACATGACGTAATGCAATGTATCAGGATGGTTTTGCCATTGCCGGCAATGGGGTGGGCGTAGCTTCTGGACGACGCATCCGGTCTGTGGGCCAGCAGTTTGACACTCCTGTCCTATAGGAAAGACTAAGTGAAGAATAAAAAAGACATTGAAAAGCAAGGATTTATATGGCCAGTACATTAAAAAAAATAGCAGGTAAAGCAGATAACAACAAGACCTGGCAAGAGCAGGAAAGTTGAAAGAAAAAGATAGAGGAGTTAATTCTGGCTGCACAAGACCAAGCCTTAGGAACAACTGCATACAAAGCCAGAATTGAGAAGACAGCAATAGACAGCAATAGACAGCAAGTGCAGCTTCTGTAAAGAAGGTGAAGAAACAGGGGACCACCTTGTCAGCTGTTGCAAGAAGTTTGCACAGACTGACTACAAACAATGGCAGGGTAAAGTAGCAACAATGGTGCATTGGAATATCTGAAAAAAATATCACTTGCCTGCAAGCAACAACTGGTGGGACCACAAAACAGACAAAGTAATAAAAAAGAAAAAAGTTAGTGTTCTGGGATTTTAGAATTCAGATAGACGTCTGCCAGACTTAGCAATTGTTGATAAGAAAGACAAAGAAGTCTAGATCAGGGGTGTCAAACTGCTGGCCCGCGGGCTGGTTTCATCATACCAGAGCCACGCCCACCCCCCAAAAGCTCCGATATGTTGCGTGACGTCACATGATGTCGCAAGTTTGATATGTCTGGTCTAGATAGTAGACATTGCTATATGTGGAGACAGTAGAATAGAAAAGAATGGGGGGAAATCCGAAAATATAAATACCTGGAAATAGAAGTAGAATGACTGTAGCAAAATAAAACAAAGATAGTATCCATAATAATGGATGCCTTGATTACAATCCCAAAACAACTGGAGACTCATTTGAACACCATTGGCATAGACAAAATCACCACCAGTCAATTGCAAAAGGCAGGTTTACTTGGGACAGTTTACACTGTGCAACAATACCTTTAATATTATTAAACAACCACATTTGCCTATCCCAGATCCTTGGAAAGGATTCGACATATAGACAAAAATTCCAAATCCAAAATAAAGATCTTTGACTGTGTAACCAACCATAATTTATTAAATTTATATGCTAACTCCCATGACTCTGGATAGTTTGGCAATTTTTAAAACATTTAAAAACAAAGAACAATAAAAACACACAGAGACAAGTTAATCCCATAACTTTTGCCTGAAATCAGAATGTGGCATGTTCCTAAATATTTTAATTTAAGTAATAGATATAGACTTCATTTTATGAACAAAATTGTTCATACATCATCATTAAATGTACCTAATAATTCTCCACCAAATATCAGCTTTTAGTGTTACTACGTGCTGCTTGTCCTAAATTAGCCATGATAACTTAAAACAAAAATAATTGGGGTTTTGTTTGTTTGCTTGTCTTAATGGAAAATAGAGGCTTGGGACCAGCTTCCAGCAGCTGTAGTGGGTTAATCCTCAGTAACTATGTTTAAACATGCCTGGGATAAACACATGAACTGACAAAAATAAAAAAAATAAATGCATAAATTAAAAAGAAAACAAACAAACAAAAAAAGAGCAGACTCAATGGACCACTAGGTCTTTTTTTGCCAGTGGTTTTCTATGTTCTATGCTTCTAATTATCTTCATTCCCAAACTCTCCTAAATTTAATGCAACTAAAAAGAAAAGTTGAGCAGCGTGACTGGTTCTTTTTTGCTCCTCATGAAAATCTGTCAGCTCCGTAAACAGCCTCTATTTGATAAAGGTTTCATAGAAATTATTATGAGCTTTTTCATTTGTGCAAAGGAAGATGTATCACTATCTTCTCTTTTTCTCTTTGGCATCCAAGCTACTTTCCTCTTGCATGTTATGCAAACTTCAAGAAAACAGCAGTGAGCATGTCAATGAAACAGGGATGATAACTCAAAAATGCTGCAGTTTGCAACAACCTCTTTAATTTCCAAGACAAGCACGTTAGCTTAAACATTACTTTCTTTTTTCCTTAATTGGATTATTTACATAAATTGCAATATAAGGCAATCATATGCGGGCTATTTAAACCAAAGAAAGCCTTAATCAGTCACACTGAGGGGCTTTTATACTTTTGGTCCAGAAAAAAACAAAAAAAAATTGAAGAGGATGATAAGGTGAGGCCAGGCAGGGTAAAAGCTGATATTCTCTCTTTATAACAGATAGCCTGAAGTTGTAGAGGCCATTATACCATGCATTTTCAGAGCAAATGAACTTGACAGATGGCTGTGTCACCTAAACCCCTACCTACCAACTTGATTATGCAGAAAACAATACAATAGAAAAGAAATCATTACTGAAGGAACCTGGTTAGTCCACAGAGGGCTGAGCGATGCAGAAGAACAAAATTACAGTTGTGGAATTGAACAGCAAGAATGCATTTAACATAAAGTGGGTTACAGCGAGGCAATCAGTCATGGCTACGGCTATTGTCTGGGCTTGTGTGCATGCTATATGAAGCAATCTGTCATCTCCCACTGAATTGGTGTTTAGTTTATAGGGGAAAACTACAAAGGTTTAGCTAGGGCATGTTTTGGTAGCCTTAAATAGCTCAACAGAATGAAATTGAGGAGATCTCAAGGCCTTTTGCTGGGTCACATGGTAATTCAAGAACAGTAGGTTATTGTAGTACTATACAACACAAAACCATGGAAGTCTATGGAAAAGAACCATCTATAAAGCAACAGCAACTTCGGACAAGAGCCCTACTCAATGTGAATCAAAATATTTACCTGAATTCTATGCATGGGGGAGGGAGGGAGGGAGGGAGAGAGAGAGAGAAAGAGAAAGAGAGCATCTTGCCCTCACTCTTGATATTAACTTATCCCTGGCTGCTGAGCAGCTTTACAGTTGTGCCATCCAGTCACAGAAAACCTAGAGTGTGGCGTGTGATCCAGTACTTAGCTATGATCCTCAAAAGGAATCTGTGAGATCCTGTCTTGAGCCTTGCTTTGGCCAGTGTAGCAGAGATCCCCGGAGTTATTACAAGTGCATACAAGTGTAATAGTTTTATTACGGTCATTTGATTAGGATGCAATTTAGAGGCCTGAAGTCCATTAGCACTTATTATTCCATACATTGTAAAAATTATGGCTAACCCCCTTCTATTAATGAGAGACCTGATTTAGAGGATCACTTACTTCCTGTTGAATAGAAGGAATATAAACTGCTATTCTGTAGGAATAGAAGACTAATTTGGTCAGCTTACGGATGGAACATTAGTTCTGCCTTTAGATTTCAAAATGTTAATTCCTGGTACAAATTAAGCTCAAACTTAACTCTGAAACTAATAAAAAAAGAGAAAGGAATAAAGATATATTTTTTAAAGTTCAAAAATCACATTGTCAATTCATTTCTTTCCAAACTGTTGCTATAGTAACTCATGCATTAGAGTGGTATTTTATATTTATAGATCTAACATAAATATTAAACTAGGTAAATACTGACCTCCTATTTGTTACACTTTTTAAAACAATGCATGCAGTGAGTTCTCATTTAATTTCACTGCTGCTGAAATAAATGACAACTGTACTTAATGAATGCTGGACAAGTGTGGTTTGCTTCAATTTATATGCATTTCTTAAGTTAATGTCATTGTGATGGTTATGTAACAGACCCACACAATCATCCAAGTACTACAAAAGCTCTTATCAGCTATAAGCAGCTGCTCCCACATTCTCTCCATTTCAAGGCTATTGAATACACATGTGAAAACTGCCACAACTGTCTGTTACTTCATCATTTTTAACCATGTCCATATAAGCTAGGAAGGCAGCCAGTTGGGATACCTACAGCCACAGCTGCCCATAAAATGTTCACAAAATAAATATATGGAAGATATTAGGGATCTGTCTGAGACTTCAGAGTCAGAAACTGAAGAAGCTGACCTGTCTGAATGTCAGTGTGCACCATAAAAATTATGGTGCCAGAGGAGATACAAGTGCAGGATGAGTCAGCTGATCCAGGCAAGGTTCTGAACGCAACAATCCACTGCAAATTAAGAAGAAGAAAGGAAGTCAAGCCTTGACTTCTATTTGAAAGAAACAAATGTGCCTCAGCTAATTAATTCAAGTTGATAATCAAGACTAGGTAAAAAAAGATGGATTTTGTGACTGGCAAAAAATATTCAAATTTCCTAGCTCTGTTCATACACTGTTGTTGTATTACTTGGAATCTTGTTCTTGGATCTTTCCAGACTTGATTATTTGTCTCTTTAGATTCTTGCTAAAACAAGTTCTCATATCTAGTATTTTCTATGCAGAAAGTTGGAGTTTGCAGTGTGCTTTATGTTATTTTGGTGAAAGATTTATGACTGTAATAAATACCTTGAGATCATCATCAGAAACTGGCTTTGTGCTTAAGTGGCAGCACAGAACAGAAGTCCAGCTACTTACTATATCTCATGGCCAGATTTTGATGTTTAAACCATGATGTTATCCAGGCAATATTTTGAAAATCCAAGTCCAGAACCTATAATAAAAATGGTCACATGTTAATTCAGATTTAATGGAACAAAAACTACAATTTATGAAAGCCAACTGGCTTGAACCAAAAGTACTATTATTAGTGATTCCTTGGGGCTACAGCATTGGCATAATGTAACAAGCCAAAATATAATGAAATCTTTGAAATTGTAACATTTATATGCATTTCTTAAGTTAATAACATTGTGATTTTTATTTAACAGGCCCACACAATCACCCAAGTTCTAGAAGAGCTTAGTTGATTGTTAACTTTTAGATTTATTAACTTTTAGATTCATACATGAGTAAAATGTTCTTTTAGACTTATATTTGGGTAGTTATAATAAGCTTTTTCCTATACTTTTTCTGGACATCCTTGATTGCTTCCCTCTTCCCAAATTGCCATTCAATCATTATATTCAAAGTGAAGCTCAGGGCCACAAACGTCTAAAACTGAGAACCAAATAGCAAATATAAAAATGGTCGAGAGTTCAGTTACTCTAGGCAGACTTTTGCATTTTGAAGTTATGAATGGTATAATCTACCCTTATTTCACTCCCACAGCTCACAAATGGTAGTTAAAGGGGAAAAAAGAAGGGGAAGGAACAAAGACATAATATAGGCAGGTTCATCTAAGACAGTGATGGCGAATCTTTTAGAGACCGAGTGCCCAAACTGCAACCCAAAACCCACTTATGTATCATTGGGTGCCTGGTGGGCTTGGCCCATTGGGTGGGTGTGGCCCATTAGGTGGGCGTGGCTGCAGTGGTAACAGCAGACTGGGTGGGACTAAAAAGTTCAATCAATCAATTCCAGCTTTGCGAGCTCTTTTTTTTTCTGCGAGAAGTTGAAATTGACTGATTGAGTGAATCTTTTTTTTTTTTGCACACAGCAGCAGAGGCCTAAAGTGAAAAGGTTTTATAAAACCCAGCTGAAGGCCTAGGACTAGGGCGACAGTGTGCGTGCCCACAGAGAGGGCTCTGAGTGCCGCCTCTGGCACCCGTGCCATAGGTTCGCCACCACAGATCTAAGATCTGAGACCCAAAGAAATACTCTCATTTGAAGAATGTGGGGACAATCCAGCTGCAACATTTTTCTCCCCCATTATTTGCCAAGGTTGCTCTTTAAAGCATTGTCTGCATGTCTGGTCTGTGTAGGATCTGACTAGATGGCTTAAACAATTAAAGATAGGAAATTAGCTCTTGTAGACAAATACACACCCATTCCCAGATGTACATTCACACAGATAAAGTCATGGCAGTGTGTGTTTTGTTGTTGTTGATGCTATTTTTGTTTTGCTTCATATTGTCAACTTCACATTGTAACTTCCATATATCCCTGTACCTGTAACCAATAAGATTGACTAAGGAGATGGGCATAATTTGTGTGTTCATCACCTGTTTTATTCCTCAGGCACAGAGCTTACACACAAGAATAGCATCATGAAGGATGCTAATCATTGGGGCCTAATCCTGAATGACTCCCCAAATGAACTATTTTTCTAAGCATATGCAGAAGTTTGTCATAGCTACTTTGCATATCTCAGTCAGGAGACCATGAACTGCACTTGACTGTATTTGCTGGCTGCATTTGGAAGAACCAAACCTCCTGAGATAAACAGTTCTTAGTTTTGCAATATTTACCAAGTAAATACATCTGTAAACATGCATAAGGCAGGACACCCAGGCTTCATTTACAGCACTATCATGAAAAATTAAAACTTCTAAATGTTTAAATGAAAAATCTGTTCATTTTTTAAAAAAATCCTTTAAAACTGAAATACATTTCTCATCATATAAAGGCTGTTTCATACAGGAAAGTCACTATAAATGTGTGAATATGAGAAGGAAGAAAAAAATACCAGGTGAAAAGATCATAAACACACTGCATTGTATTTTATTATTTTATCTATTTTGTTTGATCATGAATATATTCCATCTTCTTTAAAATACCTGGATTGATCTTCCTTCTCCTCTTCTTCCCCCTCCCCCCCTCCTCCTCCTCCTGTGTGGGGAGGGAAGAGATCAATTCAGAGTTGCTAGTTCTGGTCATAAACCAACCAATCTAACTCTTCTTCACCATCCTTTAAGAGCATTTTTCCTTTAAGTAAAATAGCAGGTTTTACTTAAAGGAAATTATGTTGAATAATGTAAAAATGTAGGAGTGGCCGATTCTGTAACTCAGCAATAATACAGAAGTTTTCACATTTAGTCCATGGAACTGCCAAGCAATTCAAGAAATATGAGTGGAAGGTTTGCAGTCTGGGATTAGAGAGCTCAAGTTGTTTATCTAAATAATATTGATCTAATGCTCTGTCTAGCTCACATGGTTAAGTTTGGGTGGGGGAAGGAACACCACCACTATTATATGGGTCTACATTTTGTGCTTTATCTTTCCCACTAGATCCAAGGACGGCCTCCTATGTATACGAGGTTTTATTTTGTTTAGGTTTTTATTATTATATCTTTATTGGTTATTTAGATGAAGTTTATATGGAAAACTAATCTACTGTTTTTTCTTAACTGCTTCCAGGAAACTAGTACTTACCATCAACTGCATGGAATAGAAAGATGGTCGTTGCTACTAGTCTGCCACTCAATTAAATGCAACATTGGTCAAATTTATTTAATGTTTTGGAACATGTTTTAAAGTAAAACAAGTGCTTATATTATTGAATGCTATTAGAATTATGGGCAGATAATAAAAAACTGCAGTTAGTCACAAATTATCCAAGAAATATAAAGATATATCAATTGCTTAGATATTGCAATTATATTAAATGTCTTGAGTTCCAGAACAGACCATATTTTCAAGGGGCCTTCCCTGACCTAGTGTCTTTCAGAAATATTTGGATTCAGTGGTGGGATTCAGCTGGTTCGCACCACCTCGGCAGAACCAGTAGCTAATTTTACATTGTCCAGGCCCAGAATGGACTTCCAGAAGTGGCATCCACACAGAGAACCAGTTGTTCACATATTTGAATCCCACCACTGTTTGGATTCCAATTTCCAAAATTCATAAGAAAATTATGGCTAGCTACTCTAACCGGACAAATACTGAAGATCTGTGAATGTTTTGTCCCATCTTAATTTAATCCATTGTTTTCCATTAGAAATAAGTGCTTGAACATATAAAATCCATAGACATTTTTAGGCATATCATGAATTTTCTAACATTGAAAAATACACTAAGTATGTTTTTAAAATGACGTTTGTGTAATGTATATAAATTACTATTTAGTATTTTTAAAAATAAAACTACAAGTGAATAATACTGTAGATAGTTAAAACCCCTGTATTATGCTAAATGAGATTATTATTTTGTGTCATTACATAATACGGGTTGAGGGCAAAAGCTCAAAATAAGCCAATGAAAGGGATTAGATTTTGTGAAACAAAGCTAGTGTTGTGGTCACAAAATTGTTAGCTCTTGTGGCATATTGTCCATAATTTAGTTTAGGAAATCAGTGAACCACATGGTAATGATTTTTCAGAGTTTCTTCACTAAAAAGCATTATGCTATGTCTACAGTGAACACAGACTAAATCCAAGTATTTGAAATAAAAAAGCAGCAGCAATATATTTAGACCCTTTTCCTTGATTAGGTTGCTAAATAAAAATCAGGTTACAAATACCTCTTTACAGTCAAAATATCTAGAACTGAGATGCAGAACATTTATAGAACTGAGAGCTGCATGTGACTTTGGCAGAGCTACTTTCCAAAAAGTGGGAAGGCATGCTACATTTCTTTTTTTTACTTACAGTTAAATTAAGCTAAAACATATTTCATCCCTATGTGTGTTATGATTTTCAAAGGAAAATAAATTGTTTAATGTATGAAATCTTCAAAATCATACACACAGATGCACCATGTGAAGCATATCAATTCAGATGGGGAAGGGTGTTATGTTCCTCCGATTAACCTGGTGGTTAGAGATCGGAGATAAGTCAATGAAGGTGTTTGTGTGTTCTTCCTGTGCCCTTCAATAAAGAAGCCCAAGATGCCTCCAGACATGGCAAAGGTCCAGTGACTATTCCAAAAGTCTTTTCCCACACATTTGCTAAGCAGGCTAACACGTGTGTTAGTTTTGGCCTGCTGCTAGCGTACATCAGGGAGATATTGCTGGGCAACAATAAATCTTAATGTGAACAGCAGGGCAGCATTAACTGTGTCAGAAACCAATCTGTGTTATTGTCTTACAAGTTGTCTAAAGAATATGGAAAAGCAACTTAGGCCAACTTGGCAGCTTGCTCCTTCAGGAATATATAGTGCCAGTCAGTTTTTAGTACTACCCTCAAATAACAAAGAATGAAAATTTCATTGGGACCGTTTTTCAAGAACTTACTGTTATTTCTACATTTCTTCAGCAATGAAATGGAACAAATTTGAGGTTTAAGATATTGTGGGGAGGTAAGAAAAAAATAAATAAAAGCCAGAATAACAGTTTGCTTAAAGTCTCAGTTTGATCTTTCTGTACTTAAATTAAGGTTGTTGCAGTAAATTAGGATGACAATTTTCTTTATCTGCCAAATCTATCTTTAGTAACAACAGGACAGAACAATACATTATGGCTCTCAGATTACCAGATACCTTCTGAATTGGTTAATGTAAGATGGATGAAAAAATATTTTTTTTAATAGGAATAGACCAAAATGCATACTTTACTCCATAAATTGGAAGGGGAGCATTTGAGATTCTGAAACAATGAATGTGGGCAAAAGTGAAGGTGTCAGATATGTCCACTGCCAACAGCAAGATACGTTAAAGGAGATTTTTTTCCAATATAGTTAGTCAATAATTGTTTACTTACTATATATTTGTAACTGAGTGCGGTACAGGTATAGAATAAAAGTAATGATAAAATAACATTAAAATCAGTTATAACAAGCATAATAAAGAACATTTAAAGTTCATGCCATGTATTAATATTAAGCTCTATAGAGGTAGTCCTTGACATACAACCATTTGTTTAATGACCATTTAAATTTACAACAACACTGAAAAAAGTGACTTACAACTGGTCCTTGAACTTACAACTCTCACAGCATCTCCATGATCAAAATTTGGGCACTTGGACATGACTTGCATTCAACCGCCTTGCTTAACAATAAACATTCTGGTCTTAATTGCAGTTGTAAGTTGAGGACAACCTTTGCATCCATTGTATAGATGAATGTCGCAATCTCTTTTCCAAATTCTGCAAAGAAGAAAAAAACCCATAAGATATGGCATTAATTCTGTTCATATCCATGGATTTCAGTCAACATAGATGATAGGATAGGTTAGGATAGGATAGGATAGGATAGGATAGGATAGGATAGGATAAAATAAGGTAAGGTAAGATAACCTTTATTGTCATTTTTTTCTGCTGTGAGCACACTGGCACACACACAAATTCGATTGCCTGCTCTCCAAAGAAAATATATATATCTACCCATACCCATACATATAAATATTAATCACTGTCTATTTTGAATATATAGCGGAAAGAGGAAATTTGAGAATTCATGAGGTTGATATTATAACATGAAAAATCTTGGGAAAAAAACCTAAAGTTTTTTGTTTTTTGTTTTTAGTAATGGTGTAAGAATTCCCAATCTGTTACAATCTTCTCATTGGAGAAATCTGATTCATATGTGCATTCAGTGATACACCTGTGAAATTTTTTTTAATTTGAATACTACTGAATAATAAATGATTTTGAAATGCAGCCTTCAAAAAAATAGCAGAGTTCAACAACAAGCAATCTCAAGAAATTTTAATAATATGTTCAATCAAATTTACTGTCTTGCATTTATACTGCACCTAAAATTGAGAAGAGATGTGCTTTGTATGTGGGATTCCCCCCCCCCAATATTCATTATTTTTTATTTACTTGCCTTATCCTCTGGAGACCAATCATTAGAAGATGGCTGGAGAAAGAGAGAGAGAGAGAGAGAGAGAGAATTATATATATTATATAAATCATTGTCAATAACACTGAAAATTATTCCTAAATAAGGGACATTTTAATTCCAAATAAAGGTTAATGCCTAGAGCCCAGCAGAACAGCAAAGTCCGTTGTGTTAAAATTAAGGATCTACAAGTTAAATGATAGAAAACAGTTTTCTTCCTGGCTTCACACTACATACTTGGAATTTTATCCCCATTTCTTGAAAATCCCAAAAAGGTTAAAAATTGGATTCTTCGTGTCTTATCTGAGGAGCAACTATACATTGGAACTGTTTCCTTTCCTTGTTTATAAAAGTTTTCTGGATGAACATTACATTCATCTATAGTCACAGAGCAACTTATATGCAATAGATTTCTCCTTAAAAAAACATTGGGATGATTAATGCATTTCAGAGCAGAAATAGTCTTGTTTTCATTCACAACAAAGAACTTAAATTAGTACTCATATTTGTCTTGTAATATAGTAATGCTACTTTCCCAATAACCAAAACACAGAAGAAATTCAACTAGGTTGGCAATACTGAATACCTTTTTGTTTTTGTTGGATTGCAGTCTTAATATTAGTCCAGATACATAAATTTCAGTTGCTAAGCCCAGTACAATGGGTGCCTGTAAAACTCTGAACAAACCGCAGTCAATAGTCATTTAACTACTCTATAGTCGCTGCCTCTGATTTGGAATATAATTCATAGAACACTTCCTTTTTTCCATGTCTTTGATAAATGTGGCTCTGACACAATTAGGGAAAGATGGAAAGGTATGCAATCTGCTTGTTTACCTGAACAGAGTGGAACCTCTGATATCACACCATTTATAGAATACAGCTCACTCTAGTATGAATCAGTTTGTCTGTTGTAATCCTCACGAAGTATTTTTCCAGTTTTTCTGTCTGAAAAAAAAAATGTAAATCAATCCTTTGGGGAACCTGTATCTTTTCACCCAGGCACTATTCTATTCTGTTGTTCTGAGAAGTGCATAGACTAACACTTGTACTTTCTACCATGTACGTGAGGGTGGCACTGAGTATCTCTTATGATCAGCATCAGATACCCCATTGTGCCTGCCACTGCATACTGACACTTGTAGTTGCTGATAAGAAGTGGACTTTTCAGTCCACTGCTATGTTTCTATTTAAACTTTCAGCCCAAGTTAAACTCTTAAATAATAATTAAAAAATATATAATTATATAATCCCTGTGTTTACTGCACAGGGAGATATCCAAAAAATGGTGACCATCTTTTTGATTCTCTGCCCTCTATATATTCCTGTTCCCTAATCTGCTATCGACTTGTTTTCTTCTAGATTTCATAGGTCACATTCTAAACGTGCATATAAGCTATAAATTTCTCATAGCTGTTTTAGATTTTTTTCATGGATTACCTTGCTGCCCTTTAGTTTTTGGAATTAAAAAAAGGGAAATTGATAGTACCATTGCTGATATATTTATATACCACTAAAAATCTCATTGTTGTGATATTTAATTAAGCAAAACTGCTGCAATGCTGGACTACTGCTGCATTTTCATTTTCAAAATTCTGTGACAGTTTCCCAGCCAGTCTTCAATTCTTCCCTCCTTCCCCCACCACCACCCCCACCCAGCAGCAGGAAAGGGAAGGGAAGGGACACTTATGATATTCCCTGCCAGCTTTCAACATGCAAAGTCATTGGGCAAGCCAGCAAGAAGTCAGAAGTTGTTTTCACTCCCATTGCTTTTTTTACCCACCCATGGTCATTCTGTTTCTCTGTTTAGGTAACAAAGTAAGTCTGAAACAATGATACAATGGTCAAGGGTTGTCTAGTTTTATTACAGAAGTAACAATAATAGAGATTTTTCCCCCCTTTCTTATGTATCTATAAGTGCAATATAAAATAATGAAAGTGCAGTAGTGCCCTTTCCAAGATCGAGATCTCAAGACATGCTCTGGGCACCTCACAGGGTAACTGCTGCTATGCACTCTAGATGGGGCTGCCTTTGAACTCAAAACCTTCAACTGGAGTAGAATGCAGCAATGGAAAGAGGAAGGAAAAGAGAAATGGTCTCCATTTGCCAACATACATTCGGAGTAAGTCACTGAACAACCAGATACTTGTCTACTGATGCCTGAAAAATGGCTTAATGCTTAAAAAAAATAAATCCTGAAACAGTTAGAGGTGAATAATGGTTACACATTCCTTGGTTACACTTGCCCCATTCTCCCCCCCCCCAATAATGGAGGGACAGTATTTGAGTTTCCAGAGATCAAGAGTGTAGAGAATAAAATTTAGAGCAAGTACTGAAGATATTTGTTTTTTTTTAAAGAGCAAAGTAAGTCAAGAGTTTTCTTCTGAGCTCTAAATAAAAGTGTATATGACTCTGCAGGGAATCTACTTGGAGCTACCAGCCCCCATCATTTGAACTGTGGCAAGAGAAGGCACCTTCTTTCCCTTCTGCCATCCAGGCCTTGTCTTGATCTGTCCATACTGCTATACAAATAACAAGTCAACACACACACTCCTTTTGAACACACTCTTCACCGGCTGCTATTAGGGCAGTGTTTCTCAACCTTGACAATTTTAAGGCACGTGGACTTCAACTCCCAGAATTCCACAGCCAGCATTGCTGGCTGTGGAATTCTGGGAGTTGAAGTCCACGTGCCTTAAAATTGTCAAGGTTGAGAAACACTGTATTAGGGCATAGAAGCAGACAGTGGATAATCAAAGACTGCTGGTGTAGCCCCAGCACCTTTCCTCTATTTCCAAGGAAACGGCTCATGAAAAAGGAAATGTCATATCACGATGTGAAGATAAACAGAGGTATGTCTTTGGAGGAGAATGCAGGGCCTGTGGAAACAGTGTCTGCAAATGATTTCGATTCCCCTGGTGTCATGAATTGTGAAGTTGCAAATCCCTTTTAGCTAATTGCTATCAGCTTGTGAGCTTTTTCCCTCCCCCTTTTCCATGTTCAATATCAATTTTCAGGGCCAAGGGAGATAAAGCTTTTCCCCTGAGTCTATTGGAGAGTCACCAGTAATAAAAGAAAAAGAAAGAAAGAAAAAACTACTCTTGACCTAGCACCACTAAGCTATTTAAAGAGGAACGACATCTACAACAGAGTTCCTGGTGTTTAGGGGAAAAAATTCAGGCACAGCCAGCTTTAGCAACCTGCCAGAAAGCCTATAAGCTTCATTTGAAGACACAAGGTAGTAAGCAGAAAAAGAGATTTTCATATTCAGAAATGTTAACAAGGTTAAGATACTGGATCTGCCCTGACTACAAAATTAGGTTTACATCCTAAATCCAGTATTTTGTAAAACAGCCTGATTCAGCTTGGACACTCTTTGGAAGCTGGCCAATTTGACTCAGGACTGAATCAGAAAGCTTTGTCCCTTTGTCTATTATTGGAAATGAACCAATGGGTTTTTGTAGAAATTAAATTGGATGATATTTGCCAACACTTTAGTATTTTCTGAGCAGATAACATCTCCTAAATTTTAGGATGCATGTAGAATTTTACTGCTAGGCTCCTTTATAGGTCGATATGGTTTATAGTAAAAAGAAATGTTGTAAATAGTCTTTGTTCTAGGCTAAAATTTGCTATATTTCAAAAAGATAAATCCAGGAAGTTTTGTACAAGAAGATTCCTTATGCTATTGAATTTTTATTTTGCACTTTTTAAAAGCAAACTTTTACTAAGGCAACTACTAATGAACTGAGGAGCAGCACCTACTCTCGTCTGGTTGTGGCTAATGCTGTGCTTCAAATTAGGTACTGCACTGAGAGATCAGCCAGATGAGCAAGGAACGCAAGTAACAACTGCAAAGCAAAACAGCAAGAGGCAGCAATCTCAGATGCAAGCATGCTTTGGGACACCCATCGAGCGCTGCTACTTTACCCAACATCAGACAGGCAGAAAAAGAGGCAGATGGCTAACTGGGGAAAAAAAAAAGGACTAGCTTAACCAAGCAGGCAAAGCACATTATGTCATCCATGAACAAGCAAGGAATCTGGAATTCTCCTGTGTGAGCTGCCCATGATAAACTGAGATACAAAGAATTGGGATTCAGCATATTCCATACAAGATGACCATATTTCTACCCTAACTCTTTGGAAATTCATTACAGGTACCAGATCAACCAGTAAACTGCAATAGAGAAATGCAGGATTATATTCTTGAATAAACAAGGAATAACGTTAGACCCCCTTATGAGCCTATAATTAAGACCATGTATCAGGATATAAGCAATATAGAGCTTGAACACAA